TCTGGCTGAAGATGAGTATTAAGTAAATATATGTTTTTTAAAATGTTGTGCGGGTGTATACATGTTCATGTTTTGGAGTGCCTGTTTGTACATGTATATGGAGGCCAGAGATGGATGGCGTGTATTTTTCTCAATCACTCTCCACCTGGATTGCAGGCACACAGCAGAACATCCAGCCACCTCTGGGTGTGTGCACTTGTGAGTGAGGGGAAAGAGGGTGTGCGCATGCACATGCACCCCCAGTGGTGTGGAAGTCAAAGGACAACTTTTGGGAGCTGTGTCTCTTTCCACTCGGGTTCCGAGGATTTCACTCAGGTTGCCGGGACTGATTAGCATGCACCTTTACCCATGGAGCATCCCTGCAGCGCTGCCAGCTTTTCCTGTAGGTGCTGGGGCTCTGAACGCAAGTCCTCAAACTGCCGCAGCAGACCACACTGAGCCGTCCCAGCTCCAGTGTTGAGTATTATTGGATGGTTGTGAAAGGACCTCTCCCCTCCCATGGGGGGGGGGAACATAATTTAATTCCATTTTGGTTATTTTTTGGACTTGTGCCGTGTGCCTGACACACTAGACTGCTCATTCTGGGACAGCAAAGGAGACTGAAGTCCCTGAGCTCAGGGTCTCTGGACTCACGACACATGGTGGAGTCGTGATCACTTGTAAGGTGTAAAGGCTGATTAGCAATTGTCAGTGGTTTCCTAGGAGATAAACCAGAGCTGCCTGCAATTCGAGCCTGTGATAATGTCACTTTTAATTCCTTACACTCAAATCTGTTGTGCTGAGTGCGGAAGAAGTGGGGAGGGAGCCTACATAACCCGTCTGTGGGCAGCTGTCTTCATGCCGTGGCTACCATGATTATGACTTTTCATTACTTGTCTCTTAACGAAAATGTTTGGGATTGCCTCTAAAATTGGGTATGTCCATGGGGGTGTACCATGTGAGTCACTGTCGTTTAGCATGAGGTGTTGGACAAAGAAAATGTTGAGTCGCCTAGCTCAACAAGTCAACAGATGTCTCTCTTAATTCCACCTCTCCCCCTCTCCATGATCAAAGCATAAAGAAGTTTTCGCTGGACTTCAGTGTAATTGAGAATAAGCAAAGACCTTTTAAAGCAAACGAGACAGCTTCTGTACGTGTAGTCCTCTTTTTAAGGACTGCAGTTATCCCAGCTGTCAACCCATCTCTTGTGTAGAGCAGATGATGGCCTACTGCCCGCCTACCTCCATCCCTCGCCTCTTCCTTCCTTCCTTCCTTCCTTCCTTCCTTCCTTCCTTCCTTCCTTCCTTCCTTCCTTTTTTTCTTAAGTGAACATTTCTTAAGACAAGGTCTCATGCTAGCCAGTGGTGGTGGCAGCGGCAGCACACACCTTTAATCCCAGAAGGTAGAGGCAGAGGCAGGTGGATCTCTATGAGTTTAAGGCCAGCCTAGTCTACAGAGTGAGTTCCAGGACAGCCAATGTTACTCAGAAAAACCCTGTCTTGGATAAAACCAAGGGGTTGGGGGAAGGGAAAGACAAGGTCTCACTCTGTTGCCTTGTTTGATCTGAAACCCATTGTGCAGGCCAGACTGGCTTCTAAGTGCAGGGATTACAGGCATGTGCCACTACACCCAGCAAGATGATGGATTTCTGATGCCCTTACAGTCAAATTGGAGAATGGCAGCCCTGGGTTTGTTTTCACTCTGGCCTGACCTGGGTAACCCAGGCCTTTAGGGAACCCGATCTCACTGCTCGTGTCCCTGAACCCTTCTCCTCCTCATCTTGTCAGCTTTGTTGTTTGTTTCCAGAGGCAGAGGGTCAACATGTCAAAAACAGGGATGTGATGACCAAGGTACACAGTGCATGTCCCTTGTCCCTGGTGTGGCTGTATGGGAGGCACAGAGAAACCACAGGTTTACCAAACAGAGCTACTGTAGGTATTTCTTGTGCAAGCATAAACCTGGTTGCCCACAATTTAAAGCATATGTTGTTTTTAATGTGTCAGATTTTCTCACTATCAATGGTCAAATTAATAATCTGCATAAAGAGATAAATAAAATCTCAAGTGACCTTTGAATAGCTGTCCTAGTTAAAATGACTTCCCCCTTTCTTTGGTCCTCTGTTAGCTGTTCTCACAATTCTCTTATGCTTGCTATACTAGAAGAGCAATGCAGGCAAGGCGTTCAACCTTGGCCTCTAGTACAGACACAATTTTCTCCTTAAAACCTAAAAGAGGAGGAGATGTGAGAAGCACAGAGGTCTTTGTGCTCACAAATGAGCACAAGGGGAAACTGGGATTTTAAACACACAGGGTTGCTTCTTCAAAGAAAGGGATGCAAACCTAGTATCCCACCCAAAAGGCTGGGAGCAGATGTGGCTAATAGCCTGGGGACCTTCACGCTATCTGTGTAGCTGAGACCACACTGGATCCTCCCCAAAACGCTTCTCATGAGCTTGTCAATCTAGAGCCCTTCTTTCTGGAAGACATCCCATGTGCTTTGCAGAGAGTTTTGATGTAGTCATATCTTAAGCTTTGTTGTAAACACATGGGATTGAGTTAAATTATGACCAGGAAAATCTCACCGGCTGTGCTGTCCTCAAAAATACCTAAAATATACCACTTCAGGTCAGACTCGAGAAGTTTGAACCAACACCCGGTACTTAGTCATATTGAACCTAAGTACTTTCTTACCTCCTGCAGATCATTACTCTGCTGGCCGAGGTGCTTGCAGAGACCCCCAAATGGGTAGAGGCAGGAGGCAGGCACAGATAGGTGACTGAGCTGATGCCAATATTGAAATTATTTCTTCCAAGGAATAAAGCATGATAAAGTCGAGAGGATGGATCTGGACTCAGATCCTGGCTCTGCAAATGCTGGCTGTTCACTCTTGGGCCAGCTACCAAGCCTTCCTGAGCACTAGGTGCCTGATTCTCCCCCTCCCCTAAGAGCTGGAAGCCAGTTCACTGGGGAGCTCCTTTAGTGTTGAGATGAAGCAATGAATATGAAGGTGAAGGTAGAATGTAGTCACACCCCCACCACAATTGGCCAGCCCAGGTTTCGCTGATGTCCTCGTGACTCTCTTCTTCCAGTGCTGAAGTCGAGGCTGACCCGCAGTGCGAATGGGGAAACGATGGTGTGTGACCCAGATGCTTAAATACATGATTGGCTCCTATGAAGAAAGATAGCAAAGTTCCTCTTCCTGACACCCCAGAAACAGGTGCTGGTCCTTACTGTGAGGTAGAGCCTGCTTGGCCCACTTCCAGATTCAAAGTTGAGCCTTAGGGGCAGGAGTAGTAGCCAGGATCAGAACAGATGTGAATTCAGACCCACCCGAAGAGTGTCTTTGGAAAGACCATGACACACTCCAAAAGGGTCCTGCAGTCTCTTGGTTATGTAGTGGGTTATAAGCCTAAGGGCCAAGGATGTTCCAAGTATTAAGTGTCATCACATAAGCACATGCACACAGGTACATATATGCATGTGTGCTCATTCATGTGCACACACACACAATCTCCCCACACACATACATACATAGGCATGCACATACACAGTTGGTAGATGCTTTTAACTTTACTTCCCAGAGACCATGTATTTTCCCCAAACCTCCCCCACACTCTAACCCTCTTAAAGATTCTCCTCTAATACTTAAGAAACAAAGTAACAAAAAAGAAACAAAGTACCAAACGGTGACTTGTTCTCCTTTCACAGTGAGCAAGACCTTCCAGACAGGCACACTGGCTTTGAAAAGGCAATGGGGCAGCCCTGTGTGTACCTCTTGAATGGGGCTATGAAGAGCACTAAAGGAATCCTAGAGGGAGAGCCAGTTCATGCTGGGCCAGATGCTGACCGTGGCACACTTACATTATTAAAAAGTGTGGTTTGGTCGGAGGAGCCTCTCTCAGGCACATGCTCATTCACATGGGAGATTGGTAAAGTTATTAGAGCCCCAGTTGTGCTATTTTAGGTAGCACCCGTTTAGCAGGGTGTGCTAATCATGGCCGAATGAGTGCAGCTGCACCAGAATGATACAGGGTCATGAAACTGCCTTCCCTTTCTGTGTGGAAGCTGCCATCTACAACACTTCCTCTTCCTCTGTAAGTCTTCCCTGTTTGGGACTGCTGGGAGAACAGGAGGGGATCAGGAACGCTCTTGTGTTCGTGGACCATGGTCCAGAGCATACGTGGTTGAATAACGCTGGCTGGGTCCTGGCCGGAGGGACCACACTCCTAAAGAGCAGAACATGGGGAGCTACAGGGCACTGGGGGTCATACCACTCAGACAACGCTGTGTTAGTCTGCCAAGAATGAGGAAGCCATCTTCAAGAAGCCCAGGCCTGGCTGTGGCCCCTTATTCATGGCTCGAAAGCCGAGGAAGTAGGCAGAAGTCTGTTGTAATGTAGAAAAGCAGTGTGCGAGAGAAATGTCATGCGACAGAGGTCAGGTGGAGGGTTTTTTTATTGGGGGAAAGTGAGTGGGAAATGGGGGAGGGGAGAGGGGAGAGGGGAGACTGGCCTCTGGGGACTGGAGTGGCAGAAGAAAGAGAAAGAGACAGGCAGACAGAGAAAGGGGGGAGATGAGAGGTGGGCAGGGCCCTTTTAAACGGGAACGTGGTGAATGTGCACAGGAGGTGCTCTTAGTGGCTACAGCTGAGGATGTATACCCCAAGGTCAGGCCAGTACAGTTGCCTGAATACTAAGAAATGTTACCTACCCCGGCATCTAGACCTCAGTGTTTCATTGATTTGTTGACTTATGTTTCCATTTTGCAGCTTTACGGACAGAACTCAAGACCTTGCACCTGCTAAGCAAGTGCTTTTTCCCTTAGCCGTCCCTGCAGCCCCTGTCTGACTTGGCGTCCTCCACTCCATGCTCCGGCTCCCTGGAACTATCCTAGGCCTTTCTCCCTCTTCATTCTTGAAGAGCAACTCTGGTAGCCTATGAAGTTCTGTGACCTCCCACAGATTCTGTTTTGAGGCCAATATAGATATGATTGCCTTGAGGTTGGTGTGCACCACGGGTTCTGTGTTCCCTCCTGTCCTCTCCTGGCAGCCTTTCTTAGCTCTGAAGATGAATCAACTTGAGTTGAAACACTTAAGTGGAAGATGCTGGAGCAGCTGCTTCCACACTTTAAGTCGTTCCCACTTGGGATTCTCGGAGGTAAACAAAGTGGAAAGCCCTGGCACCCCCTGCCATACCGCCTTGGTGAAGGTGGCTGAGGAGGCAATAGCATGGTGTTACTAAAGCTAAGAACACAGGATGGGCTGGGCGACAGGCTTTCGTACTAGTGAGCAGAGATGAATGGCCCTTTGGATTTTGAGGAACAAGAAACCTGACCAGAAAGTGCAGTGAGACTGTGCTTGGTAAACAGCCAGCACATATGTAGAGACAAACAAAACCCGCTGAAACCCAAGTTGTACAAATGCCCAGACTTAGAAGATAAGTGGAGCCATCTGTCCTCTGGAGAATCAGAAAACACCAGTTTCGTGGAGTGGTGGAGTCGGTGCCAAGCTTTGAGCCTTGCCTGAGGATGCCCACCAATGGTGTGGCCCTGGGGGTGGCTGCAGCATCAGGGAGGCTGTGATCTAGGAGCACAGTGCAGCCTGGAAAGAGTATCCAGAAAGCTCAGTGCTCAGCCAGGCCAGATGGCAGTCACCCTAGGATGATGAGCACTGGGAGGGGAGGTGCCACACTTGTGGTCAAGTGTGCAGCAAGGGCCCATGTGTGTGCATGAAGTGAGGGAGCGGCTCTAGGGCAATGCTGTAGCCAGTGGCTCTCCTCTCTGCTGAGCTGAGTGACCTCAGGCCAGAGGTTGCAGCTCTTCTGGCACCATACCCGGGCTCTAACTTCTGCTGCCATCACCTAAAGTTCTGCATAAAGACTAAGTGCAGGGAATGGGGGCTAGTGCATGGCAGTTAATCCGTATCACCTCCTTTATCACCCATTGGCCAGGTGCCTTATTCCCAGCCATTTGTAGACTGAAGCAGGAGGATCATTTGAGACCAGAAACTCCAAGCAGGCTTGGAAAACTACTGTCTCATAATCTACATACCTCTTGGTTACTATGCTGACCATCTTGGGGTTCAGTGGCCATGCAGTGAAATTAAGCTTATTATAAATTTAAGAAATGTGGCTGAACCAGGCAGTGGTAGCACACCTTTAATCCCAGCACTCAGGAGGCAGAGGTGGACAGATCTCTGTGAGTTCAAGGCCAGCTTGGTCTACAGAACAAGTTCCTGGACAGCCAGAGTGCTTACACAGAGAAACGCTGTCCTGAAAAACAAAACAAAAAAAAGGAACAACAACAACAAAAGATTCTGCTGTGATGTGTGACCTCATTTGTCAGTGTAAATTGCAGAAAGATTGTCATCACAGTGATTTATACTCATGCATGTCAGGGCCTCTGAGAGAAAGCCCTTTGATTTCATTCTTGGGTGCATGAAACTGGGGTAAAGAAGCATCGTGACTTCTGCAGGGCTGGTGGTCATTTCGGGTGTAGTCCATCTGTTTGTGAAAAGCTCTGCCTGTCATTAGTTGCCTAGATCTGGTGGGGAGGGGCTTGTGTGTATTTAAGAGTCTAGAAACCCTGTCTCAAAAAAACCCTGTCTCATTGAGTCCCCTGTGAGCCAGAGGAAGGAGAGACAGCCATTGACCAGGTGACACCCACATGCCTGGCTCTGTGTGCTGGTCCACATGCCTTGTTTCATTGAGCTCCCTGCCACGGATGTGGCTCCAGTCACTCATGAGAACTCCTTTGTCCCAGGTCAGTGGCTGAACCAGTGCCTGGACCTCCCAGCTCCTGGACCAGCTAGACAGGATCCGGTGGCTCTGGGGAGAGCAGGCAGGGACTATCAAGGCACCAGTGTGCCACGAAAGCTACCATGCAACATTGTTCCTGTTCTGCAGAGCAGGGTCCTGCAGAAGGGACCCCTCCCTTGGTGACAGGCCCAAATTGTCAGTGGCTACCTGTGCATTTGGCTTCCTTAGTACCAGACAGACTGTCATGGCACTCAGAAGCTGTCCTTGCTAATTGGTAGCTGTCGGCTCCATCCCTGGCCTGGCCCACAATCAGTATCTGTCTTGACAATGACAGTGTGTTCTTGCAGCATCTCGGGTTGACTCACCCTCCGTCTGCAGACTTGCTGGCCATTTGGGAAAGGAGGCAGAGGCGTTGAGATGGGGAGGTGTCAGATTGTCACTGAGACATTTCTAATTTGTGATGTGTGGTTTTGAAGCCAACTCTTCCCTCCTGCTTTTCCTGTTCTTTGCAGCACCCCTTGGGGAAAGACATTTTCTGCTCCTGCTAAGTTGGCAAGGCCTGCTTCCCGAGCCTCCTGAGCAGCGTGACTGCTGGGCCCAGCGCCTCCTGAACGTCCCACCCTCTCCTCCTGAGGGCACACTGGGAGAATCATGGGAGAGACAGAAGGGAAGAAAGAGGAGGCTGACTATAAGCGGCTGCAGACTTTCCCCCTGGTCAGGGTAAGCCTGGGGAGGGAGGAAAGTGGCCACTAGGCCCCACAGTCTGCAAGGGGGTGGAGCTTGCAGTCTGCAGGAAGAGGGCTCTGCTGGCTCCAACCCAAACATCCTACAGTCACAGTGATTCATTCTTTCATCCATTCATTCATTCACCAAGTTAGTTCAGGCCACCTGCTGTCTGCCAAGCATGGTCTAGACACTGTGGAGATGATGGCAAACAAGGCCATGACGGTCCGGGCTGTGCAAAAGGACACAGCAGCAGGCTTTAAGTGCTGCAGAGAAGAGCTGCCACCGAGGCCCGCTCTTGCAAGAAATCAGTTCAGTGACCCTCATCAAGTTAGGTGGCAGGCCTTGCAGGAACCCGAGGAAAGACCTGCCCCTCAGAGAAGCAGGAGGCACAGGAGACTTAGTGGGACAAGTTTGGCATCATCAACTTGAGCCCCTGAGGAGTGGCAGATGGGGGGGGGGTCAGAGCGAGGGTGGGGCTAGTCTGTGTAGGCCTGGCTGGCAGCTGTGAGAGAAACCTGGTGAGGAATGTGGATTCTGTCCAGAGGTTCAGAGAGCTGTGAGGGGCAGAAGTTGTAGGTGACATTATCTGTGTCCTTAGCTAATCACTCTCACTGTAGTTAGGAGAGCCGACCCAGAGGGAGTGCTAAGCCTGCTGTTGCCCTCCCGGTGATGGGAGTGGAGGCCAAGCTGCTCACTGGGGGTGGTATCTGGGTGGGCCAGAGTCAAGAAAAGGTCCTTGTTCCCAAGAAGAGCAGGTTTGAGGGGAAACTGGGAGATGTTTGAGCAAACCGAGTGCGGTTCACCGGGTGGTGGGACCTGGGAGTCTAGAGCCCGAGGAGGGCGAGAAGATATGGAGCCCTCCCTCCCCTTTGGAAGGCACAGCTGCTGGAAGGACTTTGCTGGAGAGGGAGAGGATGAAGACAGGCCCGAGCGTCCATATGGGAGGAGGAGGAACCTGGCTAACTGCCTGAGAAAAGAACCAAGGAGTGGCCCGGCTCTGAAGGAGAGCCCACTTCTCATGCTGGGCTCCTCCCACACATGTTCCTTGGTAGGAACATGGACCCTTGCAGAGGGGCATGGGCCCCAGACCACGCAGTCATACAACACACGCGCTCCGCCCCAGCTGTAGGTCCCAGTCAGGGATAAACCACTACCCAGGACTGGGCAAGGGAAGCCACCTAGTGTCTGTGCCTTAAGCTTAAGACCGAGAGGCTGGCCAGAAAGGCCAGGTCGCGGGCTAAGCCTCTCTCTGTTTGTCACCCTGCCCTGTCTCTAGCACTCGGACATGCCAGAGGAGATGCGAGTGGAGACCATGGAGCTTTGTGTCACAGCCTGTGAGAAATTCTCCAACAACAACGAGGTATTGCCATCAGTGCAGGCGGCCCTCGTGCCTCTGGTGACCCTGTGTGTGATAGAGGGGCTCCAGAGCCCTGTAGCCAGCTCCAGAGTCCTGCCAGGACAAAGCTAGAGCCTTGCTTGGGAGTGGTCACTGTTCTGGAAGGCCAGTGAGAGAAGAGGTCGGTTCTAGCCAGGGTACCAAGGGCCACACCAGCCCCAGAGGGAGGGAAGCCAGCAGGGTCTCATACCACCTCTGTCCCCAGACTCAAGTGGGTTATTGGCTAGGGCATCTTTCTGGGCTCCATCCCAGCCATGAGCAGAGGTCTGCCAGGCATTCATCCATGAATTCATCCATCCATTCTGAAAGGGTGGAGTCCCAGCTCAGCCACAGGTTGCTGCGGGTCTTGGGAATATGGCCCCAGGTATAAGCCCAGCAGTACCATTCATGAGGCTGTGGTGTGCAAGGAAGCAGTGTTATGGCCGTATCCTGTCTGCACCCTTCCCTCGCTGTGTTCTCAAGACAAGCCATTTCTCAGCTCTGAACATGGAGCCCTAGTCTGTAGGCTAGGGGTGGTGGTGCCTCTTTCCTGAGCCACTGAGGTGATGGGGACCCGGTGCTCAGTGTTCCTAAACCTCTTCATGCTGAAGGAAGCTTTGGAAAGAGCCTCCATGGGCAGTGGAATACCATTGCTGTGACTGGGGTCTTCCTGGGACCTGCCACACTTGCTGATCACAGCGTCCCTCAGGGCACCCCTCAGGGCCCATGTTGTGCCCTCACACTTTGTTTTTTCCTCTGGTCTCTACAACAGCCCTGTGCCCTGTTTTACTGGTTCACAGCTGAGGATGTTGGTGCTGGTCTGGAACCCAGAGTGATACAGCCAGCCCTCAGCCCAGGCTTCCTCAAGCCTCCATTTCTTCCTGCTGGCCCCAGTTCCTTCCTGATGAGGTGTCCAGGTGCTGTTCCCATGTCATAGCCCTGCAGGAGGTGCTGCCCAGGGCCATCTGTGCTGATGCTGCAGGCGGGCGCAGCAGCCATTTTCTGCGTAGAGCTCAGAGCCAGGCTTCTCCTTCCCGGTGTGGGAACTGGCTTGTACCTATCACTGCCCCTGACTGGCACCTTTCCTTCCAGAGTGCTGCAAAGATGATCAAGGAGACAATGGACAAGAAGTTCGGCTCCTCCTGGCATGTGGTGATCGGCGAGGGCTTTGGGTTCGAGATCACCCATGAGGTGAAGAACCTCCTGTACCTGTACTTCGGGGGAACCCTGGCTGTGTGTGTGTGGAAGTGCTCCTGACAGCACCCACAGCTCTCCTGCCTCTCCTCTGGGCTGGGGAGCAGCCCTAGGCAGAGCCTGGCTCCTGCAAGGAGAGTACAGAGTTTTTTTTGCCCTTGTGTACCAGTTTCCTGAGCCACATCCAGGTGTGAATTTTGTGACATCTCCACTCCCAGGCTCTCCATTGTCTCCCTCTGAGTCCTGAGCTGTGCACAGGCTTCTCTGTGTGCATGAGGGGTGGGATTGTGTGACGGGTGAAGGGGGTGAGGTCATGGCATTTTTCTCCTTGAAATGGACTGGTCCCACCCTCCATCCCAGGAGCCCAAAGCCCTTCTGCCCCCAGGACTGCTGGGAAGTATCTCCTCTCATGAGACACAGGACACTTCTCTCCTTGTCATTGGGGAAGAGATTCCCTCTCCCTTCCCCAGCCTAACCCAGAGCTGAACAAACCACCATTTCTTACTGGACCAGCAGTTCATAGCCCTGGCTTTGGCATGAGGATCACACAGTCTTCCTGTCCCCTTCTCTCTCCCAGCCCGGGCCACACATCCATAGCACCTCCATCATATCAGCTGCATGGCTGAGAGCTGGGCCATGGTGCAGAGCGAGTTCTCAAGCTGTTGCTGAACTCCGGTGAGACACCTGGGCCAGGAGTGCGCTCACCGTGAGGCCCCCTTAGCAGGGAACCTGGCCTGCCAGGACTTCATCAGGGACCGCATGCTCTTTGTACTTCTTACCTTGCTGGCTTTTCTAGATTCTTTTTGAGTGTGGGGAGAAGGGTTTTAGTAGAAGGGTGAACCATATTTTACACAGCAGTCTTATTTATATAAACGTCTTGGTTTTTACAATTAAAATGACTAAAAGCTAAACTTAGTCTATGGTGTACTGAAGTATCCTGGAAGAAGGGCTCTGGGCTGCCCTACTCAGCCTGCATGTTCAGTTGTAACCCTGGACAGTGGTGCAACAAAGACCAGTGCTCCTGGCGGGGGTGTGTGTGCTTGTGTGTGTATGTGCACATGTGTGCACACATGCGCAGGCCTGGAGAAGCGGCGCCAAAGCCATCTGGGCAGATGTGAGGAGCAGGAACTAGCCCTCCTGGATTAGGTGGGAGAGTTCCTTCGCCCCATTGGGGTTGCTGCCAGAGAGATGGGCAACCCTGTGCATGGGACTGGAAGGGGTGACCAGGTGCGGTGGTGCAGGAGGCATTGAGGGGGCTCCAGCCTGGGATAGCTGTGGCTGATCGGTACCTGCTTTGCATCTGTTCTCCCCTTAGTCTGCCTCATGGGGGTGCTGGCAAGTGAGGCCGGTTTAGCAGTAGCCAAGGTAGCGTAGTGGCTGGGATTATGGGTTCCAAGGTCCCCAGATCTGGTTCTTCTGTTATGTTCTAGGCCACCGCAGTTTTGTCTGTAGAGTGGGCATGACACTTGCCTGCAGAGGATGTGTGGCCACTGACAGGCAGGTAGATGATAGGGCACCATAGCAGGGTGCTTTCTTGGACAGTCCTCCTCGACTCCTTTTTCCTCCTCACAGTGTGTGGAAAGATAATTAGTTTAAGGGTAAAAGCTAAAGAGATGTTGTCATGGCTATTAATCAAGTGTCCCTCCCTGCTTCCCCCACCTGAAATCATAGTTTACTACTTAATGAACCCTCTGATGTTAGCTTTAATTCTCGACACCGCCTGGAACCACCTGGGAAGCGCCTCAGTGAGGGACTGTCTCCTGTCTGTGGGAGGCGTCTCAAGTTAACTGATGCAGAAAGACCCAGCCTACTGTGGGTGGCACCAGTCCTAGGAAAGGGGCCCTGAACTGTGTAGAGAGTGGAGAACCCGAGTGAAGCTCAAGCAAGCGAGCCTGTCTGCTCTTGACTGGATGTGATGGGATTGGTGCTTCAGCCTCCCCACAGTGACTATAACCTGGAAGTCAGACCCCAAATGAACCCTTTCTTGATGTTCTTCTGTCGGCTTAGTGGCTGCGAATGAATCTACTGATATTTTCATTATTGTCTGCCGCCCCACGGCCACTCAGGCTGTGGTCTGTGGTCCCGGTTCTGGCTGTCCTGGAACTCACTCTGTAGACCAAGCTCACAGATCCACCTGCCTCTGCCTTCAGAGTGCTGGGATTAAAGGCCTGCGCCACCACCGCCCAGTTCAGGTCTATTTCTAAAAGCCTGTTTTGGCCAGCTGACCATGCCCTCCTCTGATAGAGCTCTGGGCCATGAATCTCCAGGATAGGTGCCCAGAGGGTTCTTTTCTTATTCCCAGGAACTCTGCTTTCCTGTGTTCTGAGGTCCATGCTGTCCATGGTCACCCAGGCCTTCCCCTTGGGGTGGCTGCCAGCTAAGAGGAGAGTGCGTTACCACACAGAGCACAGTGTCTTTGCTGGCCGGTGGCCAGGCAGGTGGGACATAGCCCTGGGAACTAAGACTGGCTCACTGAGATCGTTTGCCAGCAAGAGAAGGTGGGGCTTACGGAAGCAGCAGCTCACTGCCTAGGAGAGGATGAAGGGAAGCTGGGACCGGCTGCCTGGGGAGGTTGCAGCCAATGGGGCCTTAGCATTTCTTCCTCTGTGAAAGTCCCCCACCTGACAGCCCTGGGCTTCCTCGCTTGCATAACATGTCATGTAATCCTCAGCAGGCCTTGGAGGAATCGCCATCATTTACAAGTGGAGAAACTAAGACTCAGAGAATGAATAGCCCAAGGTCTCACCAGGAAGCAACTCCAGGCAGGATCAGGCCTAGGCTGCCAGGCTTTTGTCCTCTTGGTGTCTGCTTCCTCCTGGGCTCCACATCCCAACTATGGTCTTGGCACACCTATTGTCTAGCTACTTCCCCCTTAGAGAAGGCATATCTACCGGCGTTATGGCTCTCCGCTGCCATCTGTCGTACAGGGAACACCTTGGCCCCCTCCTCCTGCACCAGCATGAGTCCGTGTCTTCAAGGGGAGTGGACAGCCTTCTCACACACAGTTGGAAACCAAGTACCAAGACATCACCAAGAGGAGCAATGACTCAGAGCCCAGAGAATGGCATTCGAGTGCCCCCTGGGCACCACAAAAACCAAGAACCACAGGCTCCAAGGAGAGTGGAGGATGCTAAAGGACTGCCCTAATGAGGTAGAGGGTAAGGACTTGGCCTTGGCAACCAAGGCAGGTAGGCAGCTGGAGGGGCACAGCCTTTGAAGCTCATGGGACCTACAGAGAATCTTCTAGTGAATATTGCATGTTGCCTTGGAAAGGGGGAGAGAAACCCCAGGACCTCACTTAACCTACTTCCTGCTTTTCAGAGGCCACCCCTACAGCCAGGCAGGAAGTTCCCCCCCCCCCCCCAGTGGTGGAGTGCTGGTCCAAACCAGGAGAGTCCTATTGCCCTATCCCAGCAGGCAAGCCTGACTGTGCTGCAAGGCTGTCACAGGCTGCTGGTGGCTTGGGACCCTAGATCCCTCCCCCAAGTTTCGAGGGTGGTTGGTGTAGCCACTAACCACCCCCCTTGTTCTATTTTCCCTTTGTTCTCCTCCTCTTATATATAAAGCAACCACCTCCCACTGCCAGCTGCTGTCTTCAATCCTTAGAAAGACGTTGGGGGTGGGGGCAGAGCAAGCCACCAGAGGCCGAAGGTTTGTATTATTAATAAAATCTCTAGACTCTTGGGTGTGTGAATGTGCTGGGATCTGTGCTGAGCGTGCAGTACTTTGGGTCTCCTTTGGCTCTTCTGTCTATTCTGGGATCACTCTCACAAGTAAAGGCCCTCTCACAGATGAAGCCCCTCTCACAGGTGATGATGGGCCTCTCACAGGTGGTGAAGAGTCTCCGCTCACACACTGAGTCTCCGCTCACACACTCAACCTGCTAACCCGGATGTAAACCCCGGACCCAAAGCCTCCCATTGCCCTGGATAACAGTTTTCCACCCTGGTTTGCAAGATCCAACATGGCTTGGTCCCTTCATCTCTCCCTAGGGACAAGGTTCCTGTGACCAACCCTAGCTCTAGGGCCTGGCGTCCCAGGACTTTCAGGAGGACATGAGCCATACCAAGTTCATGCCCTGGGACATCGGCCCCACCCAGTTAACTCCCTCACATTGTCCATGATGAACTGGACCCAGCTGGGCGCACTGTGACAGAAGAGAAGTTCACGATGTCAAGTAAGAGCAGGGGCACCTTGAGTGTCCCTCAGAAGCCCTGTAGGTAAATTTCTTCAGCCCCATGCCAGCCATCCTGCTCTTCCTGTGAGAAGTCCAGCTACTCGGCTTTCTGCTGCTGGCGGCGCAGGGCGACCTCTTGTGGCCATACATGGATACAACATGGCTAGCAGTGCCTGCTGGAGAATCCTGCGGGAGTGGGGTGCCAGCCACTGGCCACCTCTTCAGGCTTACCTGGATAAAAAAGAAAAAGATAAAATGGTTTTGAGACAGCAGCACCGGACTCCTGCTCTTCCTTCACAAACATTTACTGAGCACTTCCTGTCCGCTCTACTGACAAGTACCGAGGCTTAAGCAGCCTAGCAGATCGGCCCCATCCTCCCTGGCCAAGCCAGCCGGGCCCCAGAGCTTCCAGTTCATGCTCAGACCCTACAGTGCCAGGCCGGCACCTTCAGAGGCACGTCGGATCCAGTGACATAGCTGGCCTAGCACCAGCCACCTCCCTCTACCCCCTCGGGCATCACACCCCTCTCCTTTTTTCCTGAAGGTCTTTACAGAGCCACCAAATCCAATACAGCTGCACCTTCCTCCAGGGTCAACCCCAAGAGGTCATTTGAGTGACAAAGTGACAGTGACTAGTTGGGAGGCTCCTGGGGGTACAAGGGCCCATCCCCAGGTTCATTGGGTTCTTTGCTTGGGTTTGCCTAGACTGGGGCTATCCTGGGCTGTCTGGGTAAATGCTGCTTCCACAAACCCCCACAGGTCACATGGGTCTGAGTGCCTTGGCTAGGGACAGCAGGCAGCACCGTTATTACCTCAGCTCCCAAGTCCCAGTCATCCTAAAAAGCAGACACCTGGGCATCTCTCCATCTTGTGGTTGGGGTGTCACCTCCAAAGAAGCCCCCAAATCTATAGTTCTCCTGGGAAATGACTGTACTATTTAGGTTTTTTTTTTTTTTTTTTTTTTTTTTGTTTTTTTTGATCCGCCTGCCTCTGCCTCCCGAGTGCTGGGATTAAAGGTGTGCGCCACCACCGCCCGGCCTGTACTATTTAGTTTTTGTTTGGTTTTTGGTTTTTCAAGACAGGGTTTCTTTGTATAGTTCTGACTGTCTTGGAACTAACACAATGCTGGGATTAAAGGTATGTGCCACCATTGCCCAGAGGTTTTTTTTTTCATTCATTTTTAAATTTATTTTTACTTCATGTGTACAGTGTCTTGCCTGCATGTATGTTTGTGCACCACAAGCATGCCTGGCAACCATGGAGGCCAGAGAAGGTATTGTAATCCCCTAGAACTGGAGTCACAGAGAGTTGTGAACCATTATGTTGGTGTTGGAAATGGAACCTCCAAGTTCTCTATAAGAACTGTGTCTCTCCAGCTCCTGGCTTGGCTACTTTTAACAGTCAACTCTCAGCAAATCTGAAATCACCTAGGAAAACAGTTCTTTAAGATTTTGTTATTGCCGGGCGAAGGTGGCGCACACCTTTAATCCCAGCACTCGGGAGGCAGAGGCAGGAGGCTCTCTGGGAGTTCGAGACCAGCCTGGTCTACAGAGCTAGTTCCAGGACAGGCTCCAAAGCCACAGAGAAACCCTGTCTCGAAAAAAAAAAAAAGATTTTGTTATTACATTTATTAATTGTATGGGGGAGGGCATGCATGTGATAGTCAGAGGACAGCTTGCAGAGTTCTTATCTTCTACCACGTAGGCTCAGGGGACCCAACTCAGATAGTCAGAT